TTATGTGTGTATCTTGGAGCAACCCCCCCCCCTTTTAATTATGCCAATGGCTGTCCTAAAAAAGGTGACCTCAACCCCCCCCCCCCCTACGGAACAAAATGTCAAATGTTCAAATTTCGAGACCAAAAAAAAAGTGTCCTCTTTACCCCCCCCCCTTCCTCTTTTTTGTTCCCTTTTAGCTCTCCTCTTTCCCTACCCCCTTTTCCCTTTCTTTTTTGGCGGTGGGGGAGGGGGGAAGAGGCAAGGGCCTTTACCCCCCCCCCCCCCCCCCCCCCCCCGATCCACAACTTGTTGGCGGAAAAAATAGTAACTGATATTCCCCTTTTCTTTTCTTCCTCTTTTTTTTTCCTTTCCGTTATCTCCTCTTTTCCTTTTTGCTTTCCCTTTCCTTCTTCTCTCTTTTGTTTGGCTGGGAGGAGGAAGTGGAAGCAACATCATGGGAGGCAAGGCCCATTTCGGCCCCCCTCCCCCTGATCTATTTCTTCCCCTCCCCCTTTTTCTTTTCTTTTTCCTCTTTCTTTTCCTTTCTCTCCTCTTTCCCTTTCACATCTTTTTCTTCTCTCTCTCTCTCTCTCTCTCTCTTTCTCTCTTTATTTTCTTCTCTTTAGAGACTTTTACACCATTATTAAGAGACATAATGCGCAATCAAATCAAACTGAGTGATGTTATCGAACAACTTCTCAATATCAATCTTCCATTCTCCTAAACGATCCTGGAAAGCCTCGGTCTTTATAGACACACAAAATGTATAACCAAATTTTGGAGCATAGTTTAATGGTGTTGGCACAAAGTTTAGTGGCGATGGTTCGTTTGAGACTTGTACAGCGTTTATACTGTTTATTAATGAGAAAGATCTCGAATCAAATCACACTGAGTGATGTTATGAAACAACTTAACAATATCAATCTTCTGTTCTCCTAAATAATCCAACCCCGGGTCTTTATAGGGCACAAAAAATGCATTACTAAATTTGGAGCATAGTTTAACGGTGTTGGCACCAAGATTAGTGGCGATCGTTCTTGGAGACTCATACAGCCTTTATACTGTTTTATTAATGAGATATATCTCAAATCAAATCAAACTGAATGATGATATGGAACAACTTAACAATATCAATCTTCCATTCTCCTAAAGAATCCAACCCTGGGTCTTTAGCCTATAGGGCACAAAAAAGGTAGAACTAAATTTGGAGCATAGTTTAACGGTGTTGGCACCAAGATTAGTGGCGATGGTTCGTTCGAGACTCATACAGCCTTTATACTGTTTTATTAATGAGATATATCTCGAATCAAATCACACTGAGTGATGTTATGAAACAACTTAACAATATCAATCTTCTGTTCTCCTAAATAATCCAACCCCGGGTCTTTATAGGGCACAAAAAATGTATTACTAAATTTGGAGCATAGTTTAACGGTGTTGGCACCAAGATTAGTGGCGATCGTTCTTGGAGACTCATACAGCCTTTATACTGTTTTATTAATGAGATATATCTCAAATCAAATCAAATTGAATGATGATATGGAACAATTTAACAATATCAATCTTCCATTCTCTTAAAGAATCCAACCCTGGGTCTTTAGCCTATAGGGCACAAAAAAGGTAGTACTAAATTTGGAGCATAGTTTAACGGTGTTGGCACCAAGATTAGTGGCGATCGTTCTTGGAGACTCATACAGCCTTTATACTGTTTTATTAATGAGATATATCTCAAATCAAATCAAACTGAATGATGATATGGAACAATTTAACAATATCAATCTTCCATTCTCCTAAAGAATCCAACCCTGGGTCTTTAGCCTATAGGGCACAAAAAAGGTAGAACTAAATTTGGAGCATAGTTTAACGGTGTTGGCACCAAGATTAGTGGCGATGGTTCGTTCGAGACTCATACAGCCTTTATACTGTTTTATTAATGAGATATATCTCGAATCAAATCACACTGAGTGATGTTATGAAACAACTTAACAATATCAATCTTCTGTTCTCCTAAATAATCCAACCCCGGGTCTTTATAGGGCACAAAAAATGTATTACTAAATTTGGAGCATAGTTTAACGGTGTTGGCACCAAGATTAGTGGCGATCGTTCTTGGAGACTCATACAGCCTTTATACTGTTTTATTAATGAGATATATCTCAAATCAAATCAAACTGAATGATGATATGGAACAATTTAACAATATCAATCTTCCATTCTCTTAAAGAATCCAACCCTGGGTCTTTAGCCTATAGGGCACAAAAAAGGTAGTACTGAATTTGGAGCATAGTTTAACGGTGTTGGCACCAAGATTAGTGGCGATCGTTCTTGGAGACTCATACAGCCTTTATACTGTTTTATTAATGAGATATATCTCAAATCAAATCAAACTGAATGATGATATGGAACAACTTAACAATATCAATCTTCCATTCTCCTAAAGAATCCAACCCTGGGTCTTTAGCCTATAGGGCACAAAAAAGGTAGAACTAAATTTGGAGCATAGTTTAACGGTGTTGGCACCAAGATTAGTGGCGATGGTTCGTTCGAGACTTATACAGCCTTTATACTGTTTTATTAATGAGATATATCTCGAATCAAATCACACTGAGTGATGTTATGAAACAACTTAACAATATCAATCTTCTGTTCTCCTAAATAATCCAACCCCGGGTCTTTATAGGGCACAAAAAATGTATTACTAAATTTGGAGCATAGTTTAACGGTGTTGGCACCAAGATTAGTGGCAATCGTTCTTGGAGACTCATACAGCCTTTATACTGTTTTATTAATGAGATATATCTCGAATCAAATCAAACTGAATGATGATATGGAACAACTTAACAATATCAATCTTCCATTCTCCTAAAGAATCCAATCCTGGGTCTTTAGCCTATAGGGCACAAAAAAGGTAGTACTAAATTTGGAGCATAGTTTAACAGTGTTGGCACCAAGATTAGTGGCGATGGTTCGTTCGAGACTCATACAGCCTTTATACTGTTTTATTAATGAGATATATCTCGAATCAAATCACACTGAGTGATGTTATGGAACAACTTAACAATATCAATCTTCTGTTCTCCTAAATTTCCAACCCTGGGTCTTTATAGGGCACAAAAAACGTAGTACTAAATTTGGAGCATAGTTTAACGGTGTTGGCACCAAGATTAGTGGCGATCGTTCTTGGAGACTCATACAGCCTTTATACTGTTTTATTAATGAGATATATCTTGAATCAAATCAAACTGAATGTCGATATGGAACAATTTAACAATATCAATCTTCCGTTCTCCTAAAGAATCCAACCCTGGGTCTTTAGCCTATAGGGCACAAAAAAGGTAGTACTAAATTTGGAGCATAGTTTAACGATGTTGGCACCAAGATTAGTGGCGATGGTTCGTTCAAGACTCGTACAGCTTTTATACTCTTTCATTAATGAGATAATATCTGGAATCAAATCAAACTGAGTGATGTTATGAAACAACTTAACAATATCAATCTTCCGTTCTCCCAGATAATCCAACCCCGGGTCTTTCATAGGGCATGTATTACTAAATTTGGAGCATTGTTTAACGGTGTTGGCACCAAGTTTAGGGTTCGTTTGCACTCCTACAGCCTTTATACTGTTTTATTAATGAGATATATCTCGAATCAAATCAAACTGAGTGATTTTATTGAACAACAGTAGGCCTACTAAATGTCCATTTTCCTATAAACTGTCATTACAAAACTAGCTAGATTAGGGATTGTATAGCCGCTCCGAGGAACGTTTGCTATTTCAATTCCCTGCTTGTACTTGGCTTCATGGAGTAATTCGTCCTTTATAATGATTCTCTTCATTCCGGAGCAATGTATGTACTAATGCTTACGAACGTACTTTTGTACTAGTACAGTACATGTACCTGTGTATAAGACAGATCCATAGACAGAGTACGCACGCCGCACGTCTGTGACGTAGGGAATAATGAATATTCATATCGCCACTAATCTTGGTGCCAATATATGCTACCGAGATTGATTTAGATGACTCCGGCAGCGAGAGTTTAACACGGCTTGCAAGATTTTCAACATGGATGTAGATTTTGACCCATAATTTCCTTAAAAGGGACCATTAAACGGATTATTTCAATCAAGTTAGTAAGTGGAACCGATGTATTATAGCCTAGGCCTAATTTACAGTTGGATATACACGAGGTAAAATGACATTTTGGGGGATTTTGGGGGCAAAACGCTACGACCTGAAATGGCCGTGGCATTATCAAGGGAATGTGTATAGACGGTTTCCGTCTCTAAAGAGAGAGCCGGCCGACCCTACCCCAATAAGAGGCTAACGAACGAAAGAGACGGAAAATTCGGTCTAAATTTCTATTGGATGAGAAGAATGATTCAATGACATTGTTATCTTAGTACTACTACCATGACTACTAGACTAGGTAGTAGGGCCTACTAACTTTAAAGTCTACTATTTCTATGGTCTATGTTTTCGGCAGTTTTTTTTGCTGCACACATAGTAGACCGAATTTTTCGTCTCTTTCGTTCGTTATGCCTCTTATTTGGGTAGGGTCGGCTCTCTCTTTAGTGTCGGAAGCCAACTATACGCATTCCCTTTCTAACACCATGGCCTATGGCCATATTTTTATGCCCCGAAAATCCCCCCAAATGTCATTTTACCTCGTGCATGTTATATTGTAAATTAGGCCTAGGCCTAGATCTAGGCTATAATAAATCGGCTTCACTTACCAACTTGACTGAAATAATCTGTTTAATGGCCCCTCTTTAGGAAATTATGGGTCAAAATCGAAGTCCATGTTGAAAATCTTGCAAGACATGGGACTTCGATTTTGACCCATATCCATAATTTCCTAAAAAGGGACCATTAATCGGATTATTTCAGTCAAGTTGGTAAGTGGAAATTTATAATTATAGCCAAGACCATTCAGTGTAATATGATTGTTGCTCTTTTTAATTTTGTTTGGACTTGGAATTAAAAAAAAAAAATGTCTTTGTCGTCCTTCTTCCAGAGCTCTGATGTTTGGCGAGCCATTGAAGAAGAAAAAGAGTAAAGGCAAGAACAAGAAAGGCAAGAACCAAGAGAGAGAACAAAGAGCCATACAGAAGCTGGAGCCAATGACAGATGTACATGTAAGTGCACACTGATCATTTTTAGCATGTGGTAATTGATGATGCTTGCTGCTAGCTGCTCAGCCTCAGAATAATTGATGTACTGGGAGCCAGAATGTCATTAATTGTGTTAAATGATAAGAGTAATAGATATCATTATGCCAGGAGTATCTCAGCCAGCTCGAGGGTCTGAACTGGCTGAGATACTCCTGGCATAATGATATCTGTACCATCCTGGCAGAGGAGATGGGATTGGGGAAAACTATCCAGACCATCGCGTTCCTCTACTCTCTCTATAAAGAGGTAGGTGCATTGTTTGAAGCGCTCTTACTATGGGAGGGGGGAGGAGGGGCGCGGAGAGGGGCGTGGAGATGGGAGATGGAGCAAGAAAAATGATGTGAAAGGAATGGGAAAGAAAGAGACGATGGGGGAGAGGAACAAAGTTCTGCTCAAAGGAATTTTCAAAATGATACAATTCCCTCCTTCACCATCCACTCATTTCACAACCCATTCTTTTCAAAATGCATATTCACTCTTCACTCCATAAAACTTCAAAATAATTTGCCTCCACATATACACACATCATCTTTCTTTGATACAGGGTCATTCCAATGGACCTTTTCTGATCAGTGCTCCTCTATCTACCATTATCAACTGGGCTCCAGACTTCTACATCGTCACATACACTGGAGACAAGGACGGAAGAGCTATTATCAGGTAAGAATTGTCTGCTCTCTGTGTCTCTTTCTGTCCATCTGTCTGTCCTTTCGTCTGTCATCTCTCTTGCTTTGTCTATATTCTTTCAGTTCTCTACTAAGTACATCCTGGGAACTTTGCTGATAACCAAATCAGTAGCAAGGATTTCAGTAGCTTATAACAAAAACTGTCATTTGACACTGATGACAAGTTATGTGAAACAGGTCCCTGAAGTCTCTGTTCTTTGTTTCAAGCGCGTAGCCAGGATTTCATTTTAGGGGGGCGGAAGTGAGCATGCGAATCACTTACAGAGCGCACGTAGCGCAAAAGCTTTGAGGTTTTATCAAATTATAAGAGAAAGAAGACGATTCTCAACTCTTAATCCTTTTTTGGTATCAAGTTCCCCTTCCTCCGCGGAAGCTCTGAAGTTTTATTAGATTATTAAAGAAAGAAGACGATTTGTTGTACCGTTCTCGACTCTTAATCCTTATCTGAATTCAGTTCCCCCCCCCTCCCCTCCCGCGGAAGCTTTGATGTTTCATAAATTATTGGAGAAAGAAGACGATTTGTTGTACCGTTCTCGACTCTTAATCCTTTTTTTGTATCAAGTTCCCCTTCATTCACGGAAGCTTAGAAGTTTTATTAGATTATTAAAGAAAGAAGAAGATTCGTTGTACCATTCTCGATCAACTCTTAATCCTTGTCTGAATTCAGTTCCCCCCCTCCCACAGAAGCTTTGACGTTTTATAAATTATTAGAGAAAGAAGACGATTTGTTGTACCGTTCTCGACTCCTAATCCTTATCTGAATTCAGTTCCCCCCCTACCCTCCCGCGCGAAGCGCAGAAGCTTAGACGTTACAATAAATTATTAGAGAAAGAAAACGATTTGTTGTACCGTTCTCAAATCTTAATCCTTTTTTTGTATCAAGTTCCCCTTCCTCCGCGGAAGCTTTGAAGTTTTATTAGATTATTAAAGAAAGAAGATTTGTTGTACCATTCTCGATTGACTCTTAATCCTTGTCTGAATTCAGTTCCCCCCCCCCCCTCCCGCGGAAGCTTCGACGTTTCATGAATTATTAGAGAAAGAAGACGATTTGTTGTACCGTTCTCGACTCTTAAGCCTTATCTGAATTCAGTCCCCCCCCCCTCCCCTCCCGCGCGAAGCGCAGAAGCTTAGACATTTCATTAAATTATTAGAGAAAGAAAACGATTCGTTGTACCGTTCTCGAATCTTAATCCTTTTTTTGTATCAAGTTCCCCTTCATTCACGGAAGCTTTGAAGTTTTATTAGATTATTAAAGAAAGAAGAAGATTCGTTGTACCATTCTCGATCGACTCTTAATCCTTGTCTGAATTCAGTTCCCCCTCCCCCTCCCACGGAAGCTTTGACATTTCATAAATTATTAGAGAAAGAAGACAATTTGTTGTACCGTTCTTGACTCTTAATCCTTATCTGAATTCATTCCCCCCCTACCCTCCCGCGCGAAGCGCAGAAGCTTAGACGTTTCATTAAATTATTAGAGAAATATCCTATCTATAGAATGAATTAACACATGACTACAAGGAGTATCATATACACATGAAGAAAGATTTGTGTGTCACTCTCTTCATGGTTATGTACAAGAGAATGGTTCTCAACCCCCTTACTGGTTACAACAACACCTGACCACCCTGACGAGGACTGTAGCCCAACATGAAATCCCCCAGAAGTAATACAAATGTGGTCATCTTGCAAATTACTTTTAACAATGTCTACAATTTTCCTTGACAGGTATCGAATGAGTGCATTTTTTTGTTGTTGCGTATATGTAAACATTTTGACCAATTCTGAGGAAGATGAGTAGCATCAACTACCTCATCCACTGTAGAGTCAGAGTCTTCATCCCCTTGATCCCTTCTTGATCGTTCAACTACCTCATCCACTGTAGAGTCAGAGTCCTCATCTCCTTGATCCATTCTTGATCTTTCAATACATTTTGGTGATGTCCCGTGTGTACCAAACTGGTCAAATAAAATTCTTACATCTCTGAAACCTTTTTTGAAACCAGTCAAAACCCAAATATCAACAATAAAAGATGCATACTCATTAAATGTTCTATAATGTTTAAGTGGTGATGTATAAATTATATTCATTCATTCTGCTATGAGAAATGCCCCCTTTTGGGTAATGGTTGGACTACTAGATACTATATTATAATTACCTCCATATCGTTTATCAAAAATATTGTACATTACATATTTAGCACCTTTCTGAGGTAGATTGCTACGGTCACAAATAGCTTGAGGTTTTTCAATAAATTGACAAAGAGTGACAAGTCTACAGGTTACAGGTTATTGGTTGATTTCTTTCTTGTGAGGAAGCCGTCAAGCACTTGCATCAGAGAGTAACCATTTTCACTTCCTTCTGGTAGCTTGAAAGCTTTCTATGTGTGACTTTAGGTTTAGCAAATGTTTTCAAATTATGCTTCCTTAAAACAGGTTTTTCCACATTAGTGTCTTGAAGTATTTGGAACTTACAAATATAAGAGTAAGCATCCTGATCTGTCTGTATGAGAGTAGACTTGTTTCCTGATCTTGCAAAAACATACTACTCTCCAAAAGCTTACCAAGGTACAATTTAACATATGAAAATTCAGATTTAATGACTGACGGAGAAAGATCTCTGTGAAGTACAGACTTTGAAGGATTTAAAAATTCCAACTGTTTCTCAAAATGAGTAATTAATTTTGCTTGGTACTATATTGTACCAGCATTGTTATGCCTCCGCCACCGAAGGTGGTGCCGGAGGCATCATGTTTTCGGGTTGTCCGTCCGTACGTCCGTACGTCCGTCCCGTTTGACCGTTATCACAATATCTCAAGAACCATTTAAGATTTAAACTTAAGACTCAGGAATAGTATTTATCACCATAGGAAGACGATCTGATTAGATTTTGGAGTACGTAGGTCAAAGGTCACAGGTCACAGAGGTCAACTTATGAAATTCCTTGTATTGAGTTTGTTAGCGCGATATCTCAAGAACCATTTGAGATTTAAACTTCAAACTTAATGATAGTGTGTATCACCACAGGAAGACAATCTGATTAGATTTTGGAGCACGTAGGTCAAAGGTCAAGGGTCACAGAGGTCAACTTATGAAATTCCATACATTGAGATTGTTATCATGATATCTCAAGAACCACTGGAGATTTAAACTCCAAACTTGTTTAAATTGCTCTATGGCGGAGGCATCATTTTCGACTGCACGCAGTCAAAATTCCATCTAGTTTTTCCATATTTTTGGGAAGGCTTCTACAAAGGGCCATCTTACAATGTTTGTTAATTAACATTTCATGCGCCTCGTCCAAAGCTACTGATGAAAAATGTATGCCTTTTATGCTGGACACAAATGCGTCATTTCTAAAATGTACTAGAATATATTCAGGTAAAGCTTCCATCATACTCAAATGGACTGGAATCATTTTAGTCTTTTTGCCTATCACAAGCATGGAATAATGGGGCAATTTCTTTAAGTGCAGCGTTCCTCAATCCCCAATTGCCAGAACGTATAGCTATATACAACTGGATTGATGACATACAGTCTTTATGAATGAAACCATTCCAAAATTTGAAAGTGTGTAGTTTTTCAGACATCTCAGCCCAAAATTACATGAACTCATCCTTCATAGATGTAAACATTTCTGAATTCTTAAACTCTTCCTGTGTTTTACCAAAAGTACCGGTATCAAAAGTATCATCATGTATTTCAAATGACATGATTACAGATTGAATTTTATCTAAAAACATCTCATTATAAAAAAATCACTATTTGATTTTCCATCCCTGTAATTAAGAAAACATTGAGATTGGAACTTTAGCCAGAACTTTTAACCCCCCCTCCCCATCCCCAAAAATCTTCATCAAGACCTCTTTATAGTTTTTCAATAGCCAATCTCCGATGTATGGAATTAACCAATCTAGTGCTGCACCATATTCACGTTTAATATTTAACAACATTTTGAAAGTTGCTCCATCGCTTGCTACAATCAAATGATTGACATTCCTTGTGATTTGGAAAAGATCATACAAAAGTTGAATTGATTTTTGTAAAGTTTGCTTAGTGTCTGCTGGTTCGTCTATATGTATATATAGATATGAAAAATGGGACTTTTCAGTTGTGGGATTTTCACTATCTAGGAGCATCTTGCATTTAAAACTTGGCAATAATGATGGCTCCTCACTTCTTGTACCTGAATATCTTTCTAAGACATAAAGGAACATGTCATTATTAAGAGTAGATCTACATATCATATTTTTCTCTAGCTCTGAAGGAATAAAAGTTTCCCAAGAAATCTGTAATCGTATATATGTGTTTTAAATTGCGTTGGTTGGAAATAATCTTTGGTGGGAACATCAAGAGGGTGAGACAATTTTATCTTTTTTTCGAACGGATGGCTTTTTGGTTTTTGGAATGGATACAGCAGTACTGGTACTTGGAATGTCTAACCTTTTAAAAGTACTGTGCAAAACTTCACTACTAGGTTTTGGTTGCTGCGCCATGATTGATGTACCATGCCAGACGTACTTGGTCTGCATGCAGTCACAGCAGCATGTGATGCAAGAACATCAATATTGTCTATACTTACATCAGGCCTGATAAAAACTGATTTAAATCGGTTTCCACGATTTCTTCCCGATTTATAAAAAAAAAAAAATCCAGATTTTAATTTTTTTTTAAAACAATTTTTTTCTTCTTCTTTCATGTTTTATCCTGATTTCCCCGATTTCCCTCTCATTTTCTCTATTCTTCCCTATTTTGCCCTATTTTTTTCCCCCAATTTTGTCCCAATTTTCTTACTCAAAAGGGGGGGGGGGATGTTGTTAGATGCCAATTTTTTTCCAGCGAATCCTCTTTTTTTTCTTTTTACTCAAGGGGGGCGTGGTTGAGGGGAAAACAAAAAACCTATTTTTTTTAGTGCTCACTATCACCCATGTTACATGTGTAAAAGAATCACTATTAAGTAATGACAAAGATCCATTTGCATCTCTATCATCTTTGACATGCTGTAAAAATCTATCAAGGGTGGATTCTGAACAGCACAAACCTAACCTATTCATTAATTTAAGTAACTTTGAAGAGTGCGATATTCTCTTAACAATATTTGATATTATAATGTGGAAGGGATAAGTGCATGAATCAGTCAATGCAAACTGCAAAATAAAAACTAACTATTCTTCTGATTTTTCTTTGCAT